CCCCAAAACCCCAAAACCCCAAAACCCCAAAACCCCGGATTTTTAGAAGAAAATTGAAAATAGGAATTTTTGGAGAATTTTTGCGAGGAATTCTTTGTTGGCTTGGATGTTGTTCAGGGCTTGTTGGTCAGTGATATTTTCTTCGTCGCCGGAAGAGAGTTCTAAGGGGGTCTGCGGCTTTTGGGGGAGAGATATACCGCTCTTTCTTTTCATAGATTTTTCGAGTTTCTTCTTTTGAGCAGTGTTTATAGATGAAATGAGGCTCATAGCATTTTTGAACTCTTCTTCATTCATGCTATCTAGGTTAAAGTTGATCCCCTCGCTGATTAATTTCTCGCATTCTTGCTCATTCTCTTCTTCTAAAGTTTGAGGAAGAGACTCTGAATCATAGGAATCTGATTCCACTCCGAAATCTTTCATAAGTAAATCTGCAAACTTGAGAAGGATATTTTTCTTTGCTTTATTAGGGTTTCTACAGAAGTACTTTCTGTTGATCTTTTTGGAATTCTTGGGCAAGCTGTTTGCATAATCTCGATATATTTTTGCTCTCTCCCTACAAAGAGCAAAGAATCTATCTTTCACTTCTTTTGGGCCAAAGATTTGTAGGATCTTTGAAATGCCTTCCCAGTCTTCTCCAAGTTCTTTGTAGATTTGGAAAAGCTGTGTTTGGAGATCATGAGTCCAGTTCTCACCAAGTGAGAGAGATTTTGGGTCAATTTTGGCGACTTTTTTTGGATCTTCATCAACAACAGGCTCTTCGTCTAAGCAGACTAATTCTTTCGGATCTTGAGCAGATTGGCAATCTCCTAGCATAGGAGGGTTGAAGAAGTCTAGTTTAGACTCTTCCTCCTTATCTGCAGCCTTATTCTGTCTCTTATTAGCTTTTCTCTTGGTTTGCTGCTTCTTAGAGTCTTCTAAACTAGAGATAGACTGTTTCTGGGGCTCTCTTGAGTCACTTTGGCTTTCTAAATCAATAATCTCATTTTCAGAGACTCTGACTTTGTTCTGTCCTTCTTTGGGTTCCTTACTTTTTCCTTTAGCTGAGGTCCTTGACCTTTTCTTGTTCATGGGGAGTGGCTTTTCAGCCTCAGAGTTCTGCACTTTAACTAAGTCTTGGAGCAGATTGGTCTGCTCTCCAGTAACCCCAAGTGCTATGTTCTGGAGAGAGTGGACGAGGAGTTGTTTTTGAGTATCGTCCTCGCAGTTCTGCAGAAGTGATACTAGCTTCTGAAGATTGGGCAAATTATCCTGAGAGCTCAACTGTTGAATTTGAGTGGTTGGTGCTGGTGAAGGAGTCTGGGACCTTTTGAGCTGTTTGAGGGTCTTTTGAACCTTTGGAGTGATCTTTTTGGAGAGTTTAGGCTTGGGTTGGATTGAAGGTTTTGGAAGACGCGGTGATGATTTTGACCTTTTTGGAGGATTTTTGGATTGAGATTGAGTAGGGTGGGAAATTACTGGTGCTGAAGGTATGTTTTCAATGGCTCTAAGAGGCTGGTTTTGTATTACTGACTGTGAAATGTTTGCTTGGTTCAGAGGAATCGAGGCACTTTCACTCTCATCTTGTTTCTTATGAGATTCACATCTTCTTTTTATCTCTAGAAACTTTTTAAAAACTTCATTAGCATCAAATTCATTGAAATTTGAGTAAATTTTTGGGAGGCTAGCACCAGCGATTGAAAATATTTCATTTCAAAGATCTTCTTCTTTTTGTTTTGTCCAAGTTGGAGGATTTAAAACTGATTGGGATTGAGGAGAAGGTCCAGAATTTACAGAAGCATATTCAGTTTGTTGAACTCCAGATAAACTCTTTACATTTTGATATTGTTGCAGTTTAGTCTGTTGCTGAATCTGTTGTTGCTGAATCTGTTGTTGCTGAATCTGTTGTTGCTGAATCTGTTTTTGCTGGATTTGTTGTTGCTTCTGAATTTTCTGCTGCTGAGCCTGCTGCTGCAGCTGAGCCTGTCGCTTCTGAATCTGTTTCTGCTCAATCTGCTGCTTAACCTCATCCATCTTCTCTTTCAGCCCTCTTTGCTCAATCTCCCCTCCTTCAGCCTCCTCTACCAGCCTCTCTACCTGCTCCATCCGCTTCCTATCCTGCTTCTTCCTCTTCTCAAACTCTTTCCTACAATTCTGCAACTTCTTCTTCACCGCAAACTTACTTCTCCCCGGAAAATACTTCAAAATCTCATTAACATTACTACTACACTTCACTGTCACTTCATACAACTTCTCAGTCTCCTCTACTGACCAGGCTTGCTTTCTGTTCTTCATAAAACTGTTCTCTATAAAACTCCCCAGTACAAATTGTGAAGAACGGCAGGGCGAATTATTCGAAGTGGGATTTTTAAGGGTTAAATGGGATTTTAGGGGATTAGGAAGAGAGTTAAGAGGAATAAGGGGTTATAGAATTAGAGGATTGGTAAGTCTTCGGGGGAAATGTGCTTTGAGAGGGGTTTTTTAGGAGGGGTTGAAGGAGGGAGTGCGGATTTTTGACGATTTTGAAGTTGGGGGGTCTGGGAAGGGGGTTTTGGAGGTAGGGTTTGGGTTTCGTCGGTCATCTCTTGGTCCTCTTTGGTAGAGGGTTTTGGATTAGAGGGGGTGATTGAAGATTTGGGTTTTTTTGGGCTGTTTTTGGTGGCTAAGGCTTTTTCTGCTTTGTTTACTATGGAAGTGATGGCTTTAGCTGCTTTTCTGCATCTTTTCTTCATCTTGATGACATCTTTTGAATGGTCTGTGAGATTATGACTTTCAATCCCGTCGAGATGAACATTGCTAAGATCGTTGGAATTAGAGTTCTCTGGTTGCTCTTGTTTGGTCTCTAAGCATTTGCTTTCTTCTTTCTTAAATCTTTTCTTTTGAGGAAATTCAGAAAAATGGTACGGTGTTCTTTATCTGAGAAATGTGATGCTGCAATGGATTATCAGGTAAGCTCACTGTTAGAGGATCTTTGCCCTCTGCAAGAGCTAGAACAGTAATTAAGCTCTTTGCTATTGGTATAAATTTGAGCATCTTTGGGTTTGAAGATGTGCCTGGATTGATAATATAAAAAGGTTTTACATCTGCCTCAAGTTCAACTTTTCCATCTGGTTGACCAAATTTCTTCATTTGGTGATCAAGGATATATCTGTATTCATAGGCAGCCCATTTGAGTAGAGTATAGAAGTGGTTTTTGACATCTTTATAGGGATATCTTACAAAGATTGCTCAGATTTTCTTCCAGTTTCCTTTCTCCTTTTCATAGGCCTCAAGAATAGTATAATACTCTTCTGTCGACCATAGAGGAATATTCTTCTGTTGCATAATGAGATCAAAGAACTGCTGCATGTTTAACTTAATACTCCTATCTTTGAGGATTTTGAAGGGTGAGTTTGAATCCTTGTTCTCAGATTTATCAAGCAAGGGAACTGAAGCTGATCGATATTTCATTGTACTCTTTTTTCCTTTAGCTTGTTGCTTAGATACCTTTAAAGTATTTTTGAAGGTTTTTGGCATGTCTTTTTACCATCTGCAGTCTTTATCTCCTTTTTGATCTGAGGAACTTTCAATGAATCATAATCTCTTACTCAGGCAAATACTTTCATCAGCTCAGTGACTGTAAATAAGTAATGGTTCATTTTCTGTCTTACAAGCTCTTGATTTTTCTCTTTGAAACACTTTCATATCACAGAAAAATGATCATTTGAGACTTGAGCAATAGCTTTCGAAAGAGTTTGGTCGTCTTTCCGGTTCCAGGTGTTATCATTCTTCTCTTCCTTCACAATGGTAGAGAGTATACTCCATCTCTTACGACACTCATTCTCTGTTTTGTCGCCAACGCCTTGTGAGATTTTCTTCCAGTTCTTGCCGCCATTAAGTATGATATGTTGGAATAACTTCTGGTCTTCAATGGGGGTCCACTTTTTATCCATTTCAATGTATAAGAATTGATTAGGGGTTTTGGGGTTTTGGGGTTTTGGGG